AAAGGATGAATACGGGTACTGTACTCGGTGCTAGAGAGATACCTTCATTTAGTCCTAAAAAATGTGATGAGTTGAGTACTGTCCTGGTTTTCAACCTTGGGAAACCGGTCCAGGGAGGTCAGTTGGTTTTTTGGCAGAGCTGAGAGCTTGCCTGACCTCAGCGATCATGTGCTTAATCTTACACTATTGTCTGCATTTTTCACTGTAGGATGATTGCCACATCTGACACGCAGTGGCTCTTTTGGGTTTAGGAATTTCCACAACCCTGTGAGGGAGGGTTAACCCCATTTTACACAGGAGGAAACAGTGACAGGAAGTAGTGCTTGCACAGGCATATAAATATGGGAAAGGAGTCGAATGGCTCGTTCACCTACTGCGGTGATAACCTTGGACAAGTCATAAAACCCCGTGGAGGCTGATTTGTCTCATTATAAATTGGGGACCATTCGTTTAACAAAGATCAGGCAGGTTTGCTAGCAGCCCTGTAAGACTGGGGATCCCTAAGATCAGGATTCCTCAGCTGGGATTCAAACCCCCTGTGTGTGCAGTAGGTACCTGGGGTGCTCTGTATGCCCCTCCCCCACCCAGTGGGCCTCTAGGAGCAAGGAGAACCAACACAGATGTGAAGCTCAAGCTGTGCTGGGAGTAATAAGGTCCTTTATCCCTTTTTTTAAATTATTATTATTGATCAAGGTATTACATATGTGTCCTTATCTCCCCATTACCATCCCCCCCCCCCCACTCATGCCCTCACCCCCCTGGTGTCTGTGTCCATTGGTTAGGCTTATATGCACGCATATAAGTCCTTTGGTTGATTTAGGTCCTTTATCTCTGACCTGGGAATCTCATGTCTTCTGCCAGCATCGTGACACTGAGGCAGGCTAACATGTTAGCTTGCAAGCTGAGTGCAATCCCAGACCCTTCCCAGTTCTCGACAGTAATTTTTGAGCTGAGTGTTGAGGTCCACGCAGGTTTTCTCCGGGATGACAGCGGAAGGACCGTGCAGGCAAAGGGAACAGCTCCTCTAAAGGCAGAGACAGATTTGGGAGGGCTTTGTGGAGAGTTTGATTTTCCTGGTGTTGACGAAAGCTCTGTTGGCTAAGATTAGGAGGGCAAAAGTGAGCAAGGCAGGAAGTGGGGAAGACAGTGGCAAGACAAGCTACTAGGAAGCTGTGGTCATCCGCCAAGAAAAGGAGTACACGCTAGAGAAGAAGCTTCTAGTACAGATTGGGGAACATGACAACTCATGTGGAGATGTCCTGTAGGAAAAATTATCTTCGCACTCAGGTGGGAAGTCTAAGCAAGAGACGGTGTCTTAGCCGATAAACATGTTAGTTTGAGCCTTGGTGAGTTCATATTAGGGAACAGAGTGGAGGACATTTGATCTCACAAACCTGAAGCTTATAGAGGCCAGGCAGATAATATAAACTGGTGAAGTGGACCAAGTGTCAAATTTCCCCCAAGAAGCAATAATAGTTCCTGCAGACTTTCTATGACATATGCTTCTTTTATGTTAAGAGGAGAGCCTTTACTTGCTATCTAAAATGTTTCCATTCAGGTGCTTCATAGTAGCTTTAAAATTGCTGACTAAGTCTATAATGGAGAACTAAGGAACAGTCTCCCCAAAGGTTAAGGCAAGTCATCACCTTTCAGGGCGATCTTCACCTTTAGATTCTCTCCTCGGATCTCACAAAGTCACCTCGCCAGGGTCCAGGCCCAAACAGTCCAGGTCTAATTTTTCTTTTAAAGAAGTCGGAAATTTGGATTTTTATTGTTGACCTTTTTAAAATGGTGCAAGCCAGATTCAGCTTCCGGGCCACACATTTTCAGCATCTGATTTAACTGGTGTGTAGAATTTGACTCGCCTATTGTGAATGAACCGTTGTCAGGAAAACCAAGCTTTGTTGTTTTCCATAGAGACATAGGTGGACTTTGCCCACGGACATGGGCCACCATTGTAAAGTAGGCAAGTTTGTCTTTTGGCACCAAAAAATCTCGGCATTCTGGGCCCTTCCCCCCACCTCACTTGACTTCAACTCCACAGCCGCACACTAGGTTGCTCTATGTTCTCCTCATATCATCAAACCCAATGATTGGAAAAGGCATTTGGTTTAAACAAGCTTTCAGAAGAGTTCTCATATGACCATGTGAATTCTTAGCTTCAAAAATGACTGGAAACTTCACTCAGTACATTTCTTTGGAATTCTATCAACCAAAGGGGCATAGCCCCTTTTCCCTGACCTGCCACAAAGGAACTCTAAAATAGTTCAGTAGTCAGTGACATTGGACTTCGGAGGGTGGGTGCTGTGAATTTTGAAAAGCAACTTAATCGCTGTTGTTCTTACATCCCTCCTTTGTGTCTCTAATTTGAATGTGTTGTCCTCCTGCTTTGGGCTCAAACAAGTTTTTCACTCTATCTAGTCAATTATTAAGTATTTATTGTATTGAATGAACACCTACAAATTGTCAAGTGCTGTGCAGAGATGGTGCAAACATTTCCACCTCGGGGGGTCAAATGAGACACATGCTAAATTTTAGGACATTCTTAAAAAAGAAACATTTGGCCTCCTAAGAGTTTTCAAATATGATATAAACCAAATATCCCAAACTTTATTAATTTACAGTGATATGCATTGATTGTGCAATAATGTTAGGGGCAGAAATAGAATATTGGGGACTAGCTATTAGTTATCTATATATATAAAAGGCTAATATGCTAAGTGTCCCACCGTCAGACTGGTCACTATGATGTGCACTGACCACCAGGGGGTAGACGCTCAACGCAGGAGCTGCCGAGCTGCAGTGACTTGGCAGCGACAGTTCTCAGGTGATGCACCCCAAAACCAGAGAGGAGGGAGCCAGATTCCTTGTGGGGCCCTGGGATTCCACCTTTGGCTGTTGGTTATGTTGTTGCTGGGGCACTGTTGGGCCCGAATCTGGTTTACTGCACACTTGCGTTTGTGTTCAACACCCTGTATGACAGCAACTTTGCCGAGTGCCCTCTCGCACTCCAGGACCCCTCGGGGGATGTTGGAGAGCCGGTTTGGCCTGATCCCCACAGGCCAGGCCCAGGGACCCCACCTGCTTGAGGGACCCCGCCTGCCCCCCCCCCCCCCACTCACTCCGCAAATGCCTGGAGGGACCACGGGAGGTTGGCTCCAGGGCCTGTCCATCCCATCTCTCACAGTCCTGCCCCGTTGGCCACCTTCTAATTAATTTCCTTTTAATGTGCACAAATCCATGCACCGAGTCACTAGTAAGAAATAAAATAAGAAATATCAATCATGCTCTGTTAACTGTGATTGCTTTGTTCTGATTAAAGAAAGCACATTCTAACCTGGCTGGGAGTTGTATGCCCCCGGGACCTGGGAGTCAACCTTGCACCTGGGAATCAACCTTGGAATGCAGTCCACACCCATTCAAGAGCTGCCTATTATCATAGAAAGATTTACAACCTTGTTGCCAAACAATGGAGTCCTGCCCCAGCTTCTCCCAGCCCACCTTGCCTACTTCCCCATGTAATCTTTGTCCTACCCAATATAAGCAGCTGGCTTATCCGGGGTGGGGGTGGGGGGGCTAGTGAGCAGATTTTTGTGGATGACCTGCTGCTCTCCCATACTGCCAGCAGTGTTGAAATAAATGCTCATATATGATTCAACCCTGTTTCTGCTTAATTGGTTCAAGTAGTGTCAAGCAGCCTGGACTTATTGGTTGTCTGGTTTCAATATTATTTGGCATTTTAATTGCAGCATAACTCAACCTTATCTTGGTGTTCCATGCTCTAAACTACTTGCAAAGAAAGAAAAATGTGAGATAAAATGTGAGTGTTTATGCCTTCAAATATATTTTTTAAAAAAACAAAAAATACTGCAAAAGCATGCATTAGAAAGTCCAGGTTTTGTCCAAAGGACAAGGTTTAAGTGAAAAACATAGATATATGTAAATTAGCAAAAAAGTTGAAGCAGTTTCTTTTATTGTAATGCCTTTTGGCTGATAGAATTGAGTGTGGTTATTACCACTGTCCAGATAGAGGAAGTGATGCAATAAAGGCTGCAAGAGCTCTTGAAGTTTTGTTAGTATTTGCTTTCCAAATAGAAATTTAAGAAATGATTTTACAAAGAAAAGTTTGACAAATGTTATTAAATAATCATGCTGAACAGCTATATTTATAGCTCATTTCCCTCCTGTTGTTTTTCAAAAATTTTTTTCTTTGCCCTAGAATTACAATTTATGTATAAAATTTACACAGGGTATGTTTTTTCCTACTGTCATTTGCTTCTCTAAATTGAATTCTTATGATGTATTTTTAAAAAGTCCCCATCCATTTTCAACTTCAAGGTGGAAGAGGAAGATATGGTAAGTCTGATGTATCCTTAGTGTGGAGTTCAGAACTTTTCACTCGAAAACATTCTAAAAAACAATTTTGAAGCCATTTTCCTTTGTATGAGGAAAGTTCAACATATATTTTCATTATACTGGAGTAGGGTGTTGCTTACATTTGGAAATAGAACTGCTTTAGAAAGTATCTATAATTATCAATTTATATCAACATGCTTTTCTTCTCTAAATTTTTGTGTATCAAAAAAATTCAGAACATGAAATTATATGAAATAAGCCTTAATTATTGTACAAAAACGTATACATTAATTTTTTGATTCCATAATGAAATAGTTAAAAGGGTGTCTTGTTACTACAAACTACAAAAAAAAAAAAAGATAATCTAGTAATAGATCTAACTTAGCCACCTGTGAAGAAAAAAAATACCATCCAAGATAGCAAATTCAACATTTCAAAAGTAAACCTAAGACACAGAAAATGGTCTGTTGTTGAAATAGGGCATAAAAAACAAACAAACAACAAAAAATAAAGAAATAGGGTATATCATCATTACCCTGAACCATTTTCTGCACAGATCATAAGGTAAGACAAAGTGTTTTAACTAAATGTAATTTGGAAAAAGCTTGACCTTTCTAGAATAAACACATTGATTCACACTATAATTCACTTTGTACTTTATAAACTTTATTAAATAATGAGCATTACTAACTTTTATTAACTTATATACAATATTTAAACTATGTTTCCTAGATACATTTTTTTTGCACAAATAATAGAGTAGGGGAAAAGTGAACTGATAAAAAAATTGAACCTTCAGTACAGAGACCTAATAAAAACGTGACATACTTTGAAGTACGTATACCTCTTTTTCCTCAATTATATACATCCTCACCCCACCTCCAAAAGAAACTATTTTAAACAAAAGCACTTAATTGACAACTGAGGAAAAATATGAACATGATTTTTATATATATATATATACACACACAGCTCTCAAAATCTGCATCCTGGCCGACAGAAGTCATCTATAAAACTAGAGACACGCCCTAGAACCTAACAGTAAGACATGTACATCGTGTAGTGGGGTGTGTTCCTCTAGGTGACATCAAAGCTGTCAACAAGACACTGGTGTTAAAAATTAATCATTTCCGAGAGTAAGACACCCCAGTAACACGGACACGACAGAATCGGGGTCATAGGCATGAAAAGGCAAACATGCGAGGCTGCATTCTTGGGACCAGAAGAGTCAGGTAACTTTGTTTTGCTCTTACAAATACCTCTAGCAGGTCTAAGAACCTGCCTTCTTACAGTCCTTTCTTTTCTGATACTGCTAACCTTGAAAACTTGGATCACGTTTAAAGAAAGGAATGGAAAGAAGAAATGTTTCCAGAACCATGCCATTTAGTATGGACTTTGTGTTATAAGCTATCAGCAGCAAGAACGGTATAGAGAAGCAAAAAACTTGGGTTACCTTTTGTTATTTAAAAAGAAAAATGAATGCCTTAGGTACCTGTTTATACAATAATGGTCACATTTTGTTTTCCAGTTCAGAAAAAGAGGCATAGGACTTAAAAGGGGGGAAAGAATTAGGATAAGATGTCACTGATTCAAATCAATATCATTGTTCACCTTCAAATGAAAAGCCAGCAGCCTGTGCCCTACACATATTGTCTTTTATTAAAATGAAAACGGAGAGGGTGGGGGCGGGGCCACGGAATGTAAAACTGCTTAAAATGAGAATGCAGAGGCCACTGCTGAGAAACGTTGTTGTGCACTGACTGGAGTCTTCGGTAAGATAGACTATTTTTAGAAAGGAGCAGCAAACCTGCTTCATTTTTCTGTTTAGCTTCCTTGAATTTTGCCTCTCCTCACAAGATTTGCTTTTGTTTTTAGTTTACTTCCATAAAGAGTTATAGCAATACAACATATCACAATAAAATGCTATTTAAAGACCATAATTACAACATAAAAGATGTTATTAGAACTTATCAACCAAAGATTCCATTCTTTTATATGCCCCACACGATGTTTGCTTTTGGAAACAAATTTCACTGCAGCCAAGGAAATCCTGCAGGCCGGGTCAGGGTACTTGGCTGAGTACAAAACTCAGGAAAGTTCGTGTGAAAAACTGCTCTGGAAAGGGTAACTTTAAAGTGCTTCGTTTCATTTTAGCTTGTGTTTTACTCTGTGTTGATAAGAGACAGGCGCAAAAAATGGTAAGAACAGTTCTATTCCTCCCAGCCCTTCAACTAAAATATGAGCAGATAATCAAGCTGTTCCCAGATGTCAACCCATCTTTCCTAATAGTTAAGTCAATTTGCATTTTTCTTGGGGTTTCTTTAAGCCATTGAGGAAATCACCTGTTTCACCCCCGGAATCATAAAATAAACGTGAAGAGCAGCACATTCTCCAGGCCTTGTCCAGGAGCCCAGGTAGAGATTTTTGCTTATAGAACATTGGTCTCGTTACATGCTCATCTCCAGTACTTACACCATTTCTGCATTGCAATGAGCTGATGTAGACATGAATACCAGAACAGAAACCCTAAAATGGGCACCGAAGGCTATACTCCAATGAGAGATCTTTAGCTTATGTTATTCTAAGGTCTTGCCACAAGTAGAACAGAAATGCCAGCTATAATAAGCATAATCCTTTAAAGAGCTTTGCTTCCTTTCATTTGAAAAACATATGGAAAAGCCTCTCTGCTGCCTTTGAGTCCCCAGATAAAACTAGTCCTGGCTTCTGGATAACAAGAGGAGTGCTGCATTTTTTAAAATCAGGGCACTACTGTCAGAATATAGAGAAAAAATGTGGCCATCTTGTTAAAAAAAGAAAACCATCTAGAAATTTTCAAGTAAGATTGACTTACATGAAACATGAAGACAACCAGCACCAGAACACAGGTAAGATGCTGACACTGGCTACAGTACAATCCTGGCTGGATCGTCAGCCATTCAAAAAGTTGTGCTGTAAAAGAAAGTACAATTTACACCTCCGGTAATTACAAAACTGTTTTAATCTGGTACATAGAAAACACGCCTCAGGTTCTGTAATGCAGGAGCATATGAAGAAGTGAATTCGGGCAGCGGCTATTAAGAACCTTAGGCAAAGCTGCTAGAACTAAGACACTGGAATTTTTCCCTTAGACTCTGGACAATGTTTTGCTGATTGGGAGATGGGCCCCTCCAAAGATAGTCATTCAGTTTGTCAGAATCGTCGTATGGTGTCAGGTAGGGTGAAACCCCAAGTTTGCCGCTCACTGGCTTTCTGGGAGTGCACGGGCTATGCAAAGAGTAAGATGTGTTGTTGCTGCCGACGTTATCAGAAAAGTCTGCGTCCACTATCCTTGGGTCAGATTTCTTTCTACGATTGTGAGACAGCTCTAACTCTGCCTCATCTTCTTCTGACTTTATTTCCACATAGTCATCTTCGTCTCCTTCCGTCTCTTTGAAATTGGAAAAATAGTTCTGTGTAGCTATTTGGGCATTTAAGGGTAAATTTCTATTTACTACCAGAACTTTCTGTGAGTCTTGGAGAGTGAGATCTGAGCGTTTTCCAGTACCCTGTTGACACGAGCCACTTATACCTGGCGGCAAATCCTGGTGACTCTCACACTTTGAACTGTTGTGTAAAGACAACAGCTGTTTCCTTCCCACCTCATTAGGGTAGTTGATGGAGTCCGCTGACTTGTTTATTAAGATGGAGGAAGATGACTGGGACCTGTTATAAGGCTGAGATTTAGTGCTGAATCCTTTCCGACCCAAAGAGTTATAAAGATGGCCTTGACATGAGTTCTCCTTGTTGGGCTGACTGACTACCACACTGTGTCTCTGTATGGAGCCCAGCAGATGGTCGGAGGTTTGCAGAGAAGGCACAGAGCAAGCTGTGGACAAATGTCGTGGAATATTTTTTGTGTGGATCTCCAAAGTAGGATATTTTGGCTTCAAGTCTTGCCCTGGCCGGTGACAGAAATCTGCTAATTCTCCGTTACTATAGGTTGAATGCAAAAGCCAATCCTCACTCCCACGTTGGGCCTGGGAAGGGGATGTAGATCTGAGGGTGGAGGATTCTTGAGGGCTGGCCCAGCCTTCCTTCTGAGTCTTAAAGGGAGTCTCTCTGAATACAATCTGGTCATACACTTGTGAGTACTCAGCAATCCTGGCACCTGCAAGGAAAATATTGAAACAAAAATATACACAGGGTTATTTCTACATGAGAAGATTAAAGAAATAACATAAACTTCTCACCTATTTTAAGAACTTAAACAGTAGACAGTACTTTGAAGTTTGAAGGTGACTAGCCATTGAATACTAAGTAACACAAACTAATAAAATAACCCATAGTCTAATAAAAAGTAAAGATGCCACTTAAAAATTCATTTAATGTGATCTAATTCTAGGTTCTGTTATTTCAACACTAGGTCTTCAAGTGTTTGCTATTTGTAATGAATATTTCCAGTGTTCTTTTACAAGCATGAAATAGTGTCAGGGCTAAAGACAGACATCATAAAAATCAGAAAGTTAACCCTGGTTCATGAAAAATAACTCAAGTAGTCATTACAAGAAGCATGACTGCAATCCATCATGCAATGGCTACCCCAGCTTCTCACCAGTCTCGATTGCTCTCAGACAACTACTCCCAGAAGAGTCTGCTGTCTGCGGCTGCTCCCACACTTCTTGTGTCTAGGCAGCCCTCCACAGCCACTGTCTGGGGAGTTAACGTCTACAGGAGGTCCTCCCTCCCAGCACTTCAGAACTGCATGTGTTGATGGACCCGTATATCCTTGCCCAACCCCAAAAAGCTGGGTACTCAAGTGCTTGCACTATATAAAGAATAAGCCATCGGTGCATATAAATTGATACACTAATGCCTCTAATATTGGTTCCAGAACAGGATTTGACCATTACTCTATGGAGGCTATTGCCACTTTAAATTAAGCTATGAGGCCGTTCTCTCTGCTCCACTTCTGAGCACAGACTTTTCTAAAGACACTTACAGAACCTTGCCATGGATAGAGCATTCTCTTGGGCCGGGAATGACTTAAGAGAGAGAACCCAGAGATGTCAATTTCAAGAGCAATTTTCCCCCTTGACCCCCAAGAAGGTACCCACATGACTACCCTAGGATCAAAGAATTGCATGCACCTTACAAATCACTCAGACCACATCTCCAGTCTCTACGAAGGGAATCTATCTATCCCATAGAAGATAACCAGCAAGTGACAATACATTTTCTTCTTCTTTAAACTATTTATAAGTTTGGTAACCTGTTGTTAGTAAATTATTCCTTCAATTTAAACTAAAATTTTAGTTCAGTTTCTGCCATTTCTTTTGGGTCTATCTTCTATGAGAATAGAAATCAACCTATATTCTGTATGCCCTTTAATTGCAAACCCCTCAAGTTACTTGCTCCCTGGTCCCCAGAATCAGGGCAAATAGTCTGTTTAACTTCTCATTATAGATGCTATATCCAGATCCTTCAGGTTTTCAAATCCAAATTCCTCAGAAGGACCGAGATTATTCAGTTAGAATTTCTAGTAATAAATACTTGAGCTATTACTCCTTAAAGGGCATAGCAAAGAGTTTCAATATCAATTAAGATTTGGCAACCCCTTAGGAGATTGAAAGTCTACATGGACACCACCATGTTAGCTATCCTGGACTCTATAATGTTTCATTAACTAGGAACCCCAAGCAAAGACAAGGATCTTTAGACATAGACATTGGTTAGTAGTCCCATCTGAAAGTTGGATGTTTCTGCCCAAGCTATTATCACCTACACTTCGGCCCTGAGCCTGATCCCACCACTGAAGTCAGAAAGGCTCTGAGCTTTCACAAGGTTCCAAGAAGATAACAATTTTGGGGAGAGCAGTGAGAGCTAAGTTACACATTCAGTCACATTATTCTAGTATCCAAGCGTAACCCTAAAGTCTTATAAGAACAATTAACTCTTGACTTTAGAACATAGTGGCCCAGAACATCTGAAACCATGCGTCATCCAAAATATCCATAGTATTTCTCGTGCCTTTTCCTTCCTTATCACACTCTTCTTTTGCTTAATCAAGTTCTGTTTACCTCTCAAAACCCTCCACAAGCCCTAACCCTTCCGTGAATCTTTGTCTAACTGATTTCTCTTCTGTGAAGTCTTACACACTTAGTGTGCCCCTGTATGTACTTAGTGTGCAACCAACACTTGGCTATTGGCAGTGCACACATGCATGTACATGGCTGCATGCACACACACACTCTTGGGTTCCTACTTGTTTTATATGGGTTAGTTTATTATTCCAGCTTGTCCATGAGCTTTAACCTTGGAGAATAATCCCTACAGAGTACCAAGCACAGTTCGAGATAGAAACTGGTCTCAAGAACTACTTAATTACTCAGATAATTTCTGGACTGCCCCTTTTTATTTAAAGCACGGTGTTGAGAATGGATGTGCTTTCCCGAAGATCATGCCACTGAGAGTGGAAAGGCAGCCTAGAAATCAGGCACAGCAGGAAAAGGGGGAACAGGAAGATGGCCTTTGATTGACATGCCCCTAGAGGTAACTCGTAATGCATACAGTCTATCTTTGGATAATAAAGAAGTTGGTCATTTATAAATTTGGAATCAAAAGCATCTCACAAGTAAACAATATGCTGTGTCTATGTTTTGGGTTTTGTTTTGGGGTCTCAGGTTGACCTTCTAAGTGAGTCTATAATTTGCTTGATGCCAATGTGAACAAGATGAGCTTCCAGAGCCACGGCTCTCATTAGATTCCCTCAGCCAGATGTGTGGGAAGTAGCCAGCCCCGATCACACTGCAGCCTACAAGGCTGAGCATGAGGCAGCTGGACCCACGTCCCCTGCGTCCTTGGTTCTGGCATTAGCAGTCTTTATAGAACATGCACATCATCATTATGTGACAACCCCAAGGCAGTCTCTGGTTTACTTCTCTTTTGTTCAAGTTTAAAAGGTGGAGTTCTTATAAATATTTGAAGGGATGCTTGCTGAGAGAAGCATGAAATATACTGTTTTCAAGACAGAGGATTAAAATCAGTGTTTCCGAAGTTGCTTGAGATGCAGACCACAGCATAAAATGTCATTTTGCCTTCCCCACTTTGCACAAGGAGGAAAAGTCCTCACGCCTGTATGGAGTTTTCTCCCACGTAAAACATCACACACAAAGAAAGAGAACCCCAAGGCCTCATTGGTCTCAAGGACTATCAGGAGGGACGCCTGACCGAAACAGACGGCCAACAAGCTACATGAGGCTCTAAAAGGTAGGAGCAACTAGACCTGGTTGGGTGATTTCTAGGCGGAAATCTGACCCGGGGCCTGTAGACCCCGGCTAGAGAGTTCAATAAAGGTGCTCGAGAGTGTCGGCAGGTGAATAGGGTGCTCCTCCTTCCGGACAACACCGAGAGCAAGCTCCTGGCAAAGTGGCAAGGCCCACACGAAGAAGTCTGGAGAATCGGTCCATTCGATGACCACGTCCTGTGCCCAGATAAACGAGAGAGAGAAAAGGAGTCATCACGTCAACTGATTGAAAGCCTAGTGGGCACAGGAGTGGTCTCGATCCACCCAGATGGAAGATCCTCAGGTCCGAGAGCTGGCAGGCCCCAGGGACGATTCCACTCTCAGAAGATGCTTGGGAGAGAGCGTCTCCTCTTTGCTGGGGAGAACGTGATAGTAGCCCACCATGTCGAGAGCGGACCCAGACATAAAGCTGAGAAAAGATCCTGTGGGCTCCCAAGACACACCAGTAGGCAAAAGCAAAAGGAGAGCAAACCAAAAGTGAGAAGCAAAAGAAAACCACAAAGGGAAATCTACGCGTACTTAAAAGAAGGGGAACAAAGAAGGCGATTCAAGGTAGCGCTGAGCCCTAGCCTCAGCATTGAAGGATGTGCTTCCATCAAAGTTAGAGTTCTGCGTTGTAATGGATGGTCTATGTTCAACACAACCTGGCTCGGGGGAGTACCACTTCTTAAAAGGACAGTCTGCTGGCATAAGCCATCATCACCAGAAACTTTAGTAATATATTATCTTCCATTCTGAGGGCCCCTGGCCCAGATTCAGTCAGTGGCTGCACTGCCAATTCCATACTGTTCCCAGTGCCCATCTATGCCCCCAAATAGCCCATCTGCAGCTGGAACTCAGGCACATTTTCTATGTATAACAACAGACCAGAGTAGCAATCTAGCATTGCCAAGGGGACACGGATTAATTCAACCATATTATTGCAAAGAGAAAAAATGTGAGATCTAGTTTCTCTCACATTTTAACCTTTATTTAAAAAGAAAATATCTCAAAGAGAGTCTGTAACATTCTTTGAGTAACAATTCCAGGGCTTAACTTCCTTATCTGTTAAGAAATTTTACTGTATGATTAGCTTTAGGACAAGAGTAGAGCTTTAGACAATTCTTAAATATTCTCAAACTTAAAAAAAAAACATCCCTATAGATTCTTGTCATGTAACCTGTAGATTCATTTAGGACTTGGACATCCCCTTCTTATCCTCTGGTTTCCATGGAGATAATGTAACCAATCCCAAAGAAAGGAGGAGAGTGAGTGGCATAATCCTGGCAGAGGAGTCTTGTCGCCATTAAGCTAAGTATCTGAACGTCCCTGATGCTGAGCCATCTGGCATTTACTTTTAATTGGAGAACCATCTCTTCTCATTTGATACTGAGGTGGTCCTTTGTCAGAAAATCCAGGGCAGGGATTCTTAAAATATGATGGAAAGCCCACTCTGATTTAAAATGCTAATTCCACCCGGCTGGTGTGGCTCAGTTGGTTTGAGCTTTGTCCCGTGCCCCAGGAAGTCCAGTGGGTCCATTCCTGGTCAGGGCACATGCCTGGGTTGTGGGCTCAGTCCCCACTAGGGGGCGTGCAGGAGGCAGCCGATTGATGTTCCGCTCTCACATTGATGTTTCTCTCTCTCTCTCCCTCTCCCTTCCTCTCTCTGAAACCAATAAAAACACATTTTAAAAAAATGCTAACTCCTGAGCCTAACCCCAGAAATCTCTCTAGATCCGGAGGTGGAAAGGACCTCGGGTGAGAGCCAGTGCCCTGGGCTGGGGGATGTGTTTTCATGATATTTGTGTGCTTTATTCCCACCTACACTCCACCACCATGACCAGCGTTAAGTTTTGTCCTCTCTAGCCAGGAGGTAGGCACTTCTCTGTAACAGAGAAAGAAGTCAAGCCCCGGACATCTTATTCCTTTAGCCCTAACCGTACCAATCTCATCCCTGAAATCCTGGTTTAGTTCTGCCCCACAAAGGAGGCTTGCCTAAAAGATGAAGCTTTGTGGAAGCATGTGCTAGAATACCAAACGAAACAGTATTGAGTGCATTACAGCAGCTATTTAAAAAAAATCACCGAGTAACCGAAATATGCGAGAAGAAAACTGAGTCATAGTGTGAACAGCTTTAACAACGCAGAAAGGATTCCTTTTTGTCTGTTGGACAAGTGGGCGGTTTTGTTGGGATTCTGGAGCAAAGAGCAATCCTATTTCTTATGCTTCCAAACCTTAAAAGCTCGTGTGAGCTACTCCTCCTGACACACTGATGTAAGGGGAGAAGCTCTCGATGCCACAGGTTAAACCAACCACTGTAATCCACGGTTCAGATCGTGCTAGAGAAAACTTCTTACAGCAGCACATCTGTAGTGACAATGTTCCATGCACAACAGAAAACCTTTGAGACCCAATCACGCTCCAGCTCGCATGAGTGGGCGACGTGGGAAAGGGTCTGCGTTGTTTTGGGTGAAGGGGAGCAGAGTTGGCCACCCCAAAATAGGCCTTTGGGGATATTGATTCTTTTAAGTTGGTTATTTTTAGGAAAAGAAACACTCAGAAAAAACCTTTGCTCTTCCCCCTAATTTCCTAAAAGGAATTTAGATGGAGGACCTGCTTCAGGAAGGGAGCTGTCATTCTATAGTTTAACAAAAACTAGTGACAGACAGGGAGGAACCTAGTAAGGCCCCTGTGCTTAAAGTTCTCTGTGTCCCATTACTAAGGATGGACCCCCAAACATTTATTTACCAAACGTTGCTTTTCTCCATGAAATTGCCTTCCTGCCCTTTGAAATGCCAAACCACACCTCCCTTCTCTCTACCTCCAGAATGACATAGAAGCCTCAACTACCCAATGTGTCCTTGAGTCTCATATTCTTAGGGCCCCCCTGCATGAATATCTATAATACATTTTGGACGTTTCCCCCTGTTATTTGGTTTCATGTCAATTGATGATTAGCCCAGCCAGAACTTAGGAAGGTGGGAGGAAAATTGGCTTTGCACAGCCCACACGAGTAAGTCACAGTCTCACTCGGAGAGGACGTACGCCTGAGTGGCAATGTTCTCACAGTCTTACGGACATTGGGAACCTAACAGCTGCTCTCACATCTTACTGTCAAGGAGGGAGGAAGCAGAGAAGGAACGTACCGATGGCGGGCCCTCCTTGCTTCTTGTCTTCTAGGATGGCAGCCAGGTCCTTGTGCACAGATCTATGCGGTTGGCTGGCCGGTGGCTGCTCCACCTCCGGGCTTTTCACTTTTAAGAGCTGATTTGCCTTCTTGATCTTCTGACTGTACTGCCTCGCCATCATAAAAACCCGGCTCTTGGTCTTATCTGTGGCGTCCACCCCAGGGTCCGGGCTGTCCAGGTCCACCTGGGACAGACTGCTGCTGGCCAAGTCATAGGGGTTTTCCAGGGGCGGCCCTTCGCTGGCCAGAGAGAGCCGGTTGAGACTGAGAAAGGAGCCTTCCTTAGACAGCAGGTCTTCCCCCAGCGGGCAGCTGGCCCTGCTGGCCCTGCCCGGCCTGTCCTGCAGCGTGAGGAGTGCGCGGCTCTCGGGGAGCGAGAGTGTGGACAGGGCCCGGGCCGCGTCCTGGCTCAGCTCGGGCGCACTCTCCGAGTGCAGCCTGTCCGCCACGTCGTCTTTGCTGACGGGAAACGCGGCGAGGAGCCGGTCTCTGGCCTTGACCTCGTTTTTCTTGATGTAATTCTCCAGGTCATTCCAGATTTCGTCTACTTCTTCTGACAGCTTATCAGATATAGACTTCTCCGATATGGACAAGTTACAGCCGAAGGAGTTATACAGCAAACTCAAGTAGTCGTTGTCCGAGGGGCCCGGCTGGTAGGGTGCCTCGTCCTCGCTGAGCTGGAGGCTGTCCTGGGACACAAAGGGCCTCAGGGTGTCGCAGCACGCGAAGTCGGCCTCCAGGCCCAGGAAGGTGCTCCTCTTGGGACGCGTGAGGCTGCTGCACCTGAAGTCCAGCGAGGGCGGGTCCGGGAGCCGGATGGTGTCGTAGATGTTCTCCTCCACCACCTCAAGTTCATGTACGCTCTGGTTCGACGCCTCCCGACCTGGCCAAGGCCCCCCTCTCTTGGTGTGCAGAGGGCTCTTCTCATGGCCAGCGTGCCCCTTGGAGAAGGCTAGCTCCGGGGTGCTCTTGGGTCGAACAGAGTCCCTGGCTGCTCTGGGGGGAGTGGACTCAGCTTCTTCCCGTTGAGCGACCATGAGTTTTAAGTCCTCATAACTTATGTTATCATAGACGTGGTCTATGTCATCCAGAGTCAACTCTATAGATGAGCCGAAGGGGGTCATTCCGTCCTGCCCTTCCATTTTAGGGTCATTCTGCAGTTCCCTTTGGGGACTGTACTGAGAGCCGTCGCTGTCCCTGGTTCTTATTTCCGGAGGGCACGTGTTGCTCTCGCCAGCGCTGCTGGCCCGCCGGACCACCCTGTGGCCAGAGCTGGCAGCCTCAGTGGCCTCCATCTGTCCCAGGTGCCAACTGCAAGGGCGACTGGAGGTGCTGTCTTCGCACAGCCGGCTGGAGTTCAGGTCTGAGGAGGAAAAGGATGGCACGAACATCTGGTAATCGTCGTCCTCCTCCTCGTTCTCCTGGGCCCGGCGGCTGGGGAACAAGGCCTGCCTGATCTGGTGGTCGGTCCAGATGTTCCTGACGGCCCCGCCCCCACGGAGCACGCTGAGGATGGCGGAGCCGCTGGTCTGGCTGTTCCTCTGCGCGGGCGACGGCCCTGCCGACCTCCGCTGGGGAGAGCCTTCTCCTCTGGAAACCTGAGGGTAGAAACACTGATGGAATCGCAGCACCAGGGATGCATAACTTGCAGCCTTCTCCCGTGTTTACACATTGCCTAGCCCACTACCAGGTAGTAAGATTCATAAAGAAAATGATCAGTAAACACTGATGATTTTCACTGAGTTGAAAAGCACTTCAGCCCTAGCCAGTTTGGCTCAGTGGATAGAGCATCGGCCTGTGGACTAAAGGGTCCCGGGTTCTGGTCAAAGGCACAGGCCGGGGTTGTGGGCTCAATCCCCATGGGGGGTGTGCAGGAGGCAGCTGATCAATAATTCTCTCTCATCATTGATGTTTCTATCTCTCTCCTCCCTCTCCCTTCCTCTCTGAAATCAATATATATATAACCGGTGGCTATGATGTGCACTGCAGCAGCCAACCAGCCTGATCCGGGTCCTGATCAGCCTCCCAAACCCAATCGGGGGCAGGGCCAGCTGCCAATAGCCTGCAGCCCCCATTGGGGTGGGCTAGCCTGGACCCCACCTGTGCATGAATTCGTGCACCTGGCCTCTAGTAAAAATATATTATTTTTTTAAAAAGAAAAGTACTTCAGATTTTTGCAAAAGGGGCAGAAAGGCCAGAAACTGGTATTTACTTAGAAATAAGCTAGGCCATTTGCAGATGCCCTCCAAGCTTAATGTTCACAGTCACTCCGTGAATTAGCTATGATTGTACCAGTTTCACAGGAAGGAAATCTAGGCTCATAAGAATCCAATAATTTGCTGAATTCTGCCCTGAACCTGACCAGTTCTGCCTTGGTTTACGGGTTCTAGGCAAAGACTTGGTTGCAGGAATGTAATTTAATCCACTGTTGGGTTAATGAGATTTTTACTTTCTTTCAAAATACATTTAATTAAGTAATATTTCGATGCCTGTGAGGAAGTAAACTACATGTGACATTAATGATGTCTAATCAGAGAACACAATGGGGTCCTTTATAACTTGGAACCTTTCTTGATGGAGCTCGATTGTGCAGACTGGGAGCGGACTGACCTCTGAGGCCCTCCGTAGGCATAAACATCAGCTTCAAAGAGTTCATTTGAAAGGGTGAAGACCCGTTCAAACTAATTAGTGCCAGGGACATGTTTTCTGATCTGAACACTGTAGTGATCTATTGGAAATGTCAAATTAGGAAGAAGTTTTCATCACTTGTCAATGAAACTGGGATACACAGTGCCTTGGAATATCTACCTGCCAATATGTCTGTGTGTCTGTTTATCAGGGAGGGAAGGGAAGAGAAAAGCAAGAAGGGCAAGAATAAAATTTCATTCTGAATATTCTTTTCTATTACAAAATTAAGTCTAAAAAAAAAATGCCCTAGTTCTGAGAGGGAGGCGGTTATAAGGCCGAGTCCTCACTTAAACCCATTTCAAAATGTAAGGTAATTGCTCACCCTTGGAACACAGGCTGGGGGGGTGGGGGGTGGGGGAAGGTATGTGAGTACCTATGGAAAGTGCCTGAAGTACACATTGCAAAACAAGAAACGTCAGGGCGCTTACCTTTTGGATGTCTTGTGCTGTTTCTGGAAAAAAATAAAATAAAACAAACAAACAAACAAATAAATAAATAAATAAATAAAGTGTTTGGGTTTTTTTTTTTTTTAAGTTTGTGGATTAAAAATGTATCTCACATATAGGTAAGCACTCCTATTTTTATAAGACTTTTAAACTTACTGTTCATAATTAAAGACCAAGAAGCTTCTGGGCCCTTTAGACCTAATTTTCAAAAGACACCTCCCAGTTATCTTGGTTATATGCCCTGGACTATAGCTCAAACAACTACATACATCTGAGTGGTAAGTATCTTCCTTAATCCCTGAGAGCAATGGACCAATTCACCCTAATAAATTCAAAAGCTCCCCCCCCCCCACCGCCAATATGTGTTACTTGAAAAAAAATTCCACATGGCCTAAGCCCTGAAAATCACTTAAACATAGGACTATGCTTCTGTTAATTTTAAAACAGTTTACTGGTTACAACGGAAAAACAGAGCATCTCTCAACAGGGTCACCGTGGCCTGTGCTGAGGAGTGGTGCACCTGGAGGTCTGGGGCTGGGTTTCCGGATCCTCATAGAGACCCTCTTACGGATGCCTTGATTATGTGCATCTCATCTTTACAAGTTGCTTAATGACAGAAGCATATAAAGTAAAAAGTGATCGAACCCTTTCCACAAACCCCAGCCCGCAGAGGTCACCAAACTTAACAGTTTGATGTTCATCTTGCAGTCCCTGCCCACTGCCCCCATCCCACCACAAAGCACAGTTTTTGCTTTTCAAATAAAGGTACAATATGCAACACTGCATTTCCTGTTAAATATATGTGGGCACTCTTGTCAGTCCATGGACACATACTTCCTTCTTTCTGACAGCTGCAGAATATTCCCTTGTAATGCACATTTCAATGGATTTTACGAAACTTTGCTCTAAAAAGCTTACACACCAATAGTTTCAAAGTGCTTGTTTTTCTATATCATTAGGTCAAGCTCATGGCTTTTCCCTTTTTATCTATCTCACTTAAATGTATGATTTTTTTTCAACTTCAAATTATTCTTTTTTTAATTATTATTAATCCTCATCGGAGAATATTTTTCCCATTTATTTTTTATTCTTTATTTTTTAAATTTAAATTCTTTATTGTTTAAAGTATTACATAAGTCACCTTTTTACCCCATTGACTTCTCCCTGGCCGCTCCCACCCCCAACACATGCCCTCACCCCCCTGCTGTCTATGTCCATTGGTTGTGCTCATATGCATGCATACAAATCCTTTGGTTGATCTCTTACCCCCTCCCCCCCCACCTTCCCTCATAGTTTGGACAGTCTGTTCGATTCTTCTATGTCTCTAGTTCTATTTTTGTTCATCAGTTTATGTTGGTCATTATATTCCACAAATGAGTGAGATCATGTGCTATTTAACTTTCTCTGACTGGCTTATTTCACTTAGCATAATGTAGTAAATGTATGACTTTTCTGATTACTAACATGGGTGACCATTTATACATTTTATTGGCAGTTTGTGTTTCTTCTGTGAAACTGCCCAATGATATTGTCTGCCTTTTAAAAAAGGGTCCTTTGTCCCTTCTTTTTGATACATAGGATTCCTTTTAGTAATAGGGATATTAATCTTCTTTGGCCTGTTATCTATATTGCAAACATTTTATGTCATTTGGCTTTACATTTTATAATGGGGCACTATTACTTACAGAAGTTAATCAACTCCATCAATCTGTAATTCATCTGGTGCTTTCATTTTTCTGACCTGGTGCTTTTCGTGTGTGCGTGGTTTGACTTACTGGATATCAACAAGAATGCAAAAGGAAGATGTTTCAGGACTTACCACTGGTCTTCAAAACTTTATGTGATCTTGAGGAAGGTTCTGGGAGGAAGAAAAAATAAGGCCAGCATCACTTGCAAAACCAAATCAAGAGTTTTTTTTTCTTTAAAAGTAACTTATTAGTTTCTGAGCAAATTAATTCAGCTCTAGAAATTTTCTATAAAATTTGCCCAAATCCCCGTTGCTTAGAGATACTTAGCAGCAAGACACTCACCCCATCAAAACTAAGGTGAACATTAAGCTGTGTAATTAGGAGTTGCATAACAGAACACCTGCCCTACCAGCTGGTACAGCAATTTCCTTAGCGTTAACTACCACCTATAAGCTGACAACGTCCAGTTTTAATGTTCTTATCCCGGACCCCGTCCCGAGCCTCAGACCTCCAATGCCAGCTGCCAGTCTGACCTTCCCCCAGCGTCCCCACCGACCCAACAAAACCACAGGTCTCAACCTCAGCGCACCGGTCTCCCCATACCTGCCCCTCTCTCTGTATCTACCTCAGCTGTCACTGCCGTTCCCCTCCCAAGCTACTGACCAGGACGTCATGCTAATCTCTCCTGTTTTCATCCGTCGTCTCGTGGGATCCCACCAATGCTCTACCCCAGTCACTACTGTCTTAATCCAGCCTTCGGCATCTCTCACCCGGACCAGAGGGACAGCTTCCTTCCTGGTCTCCCTGCTTACTTCATTTTCCACATCGAGGCAGAATTCGGTTCTCAAAGGAAATATTTCATTGCTTGATATCCTTCCATAGCTTGCAGGATCGAGTGCAAACCCTCCTTGGGGCCTACTTGCCTTCATGATCAAGCCCCTCTTGGACCTCTAGCCACATCTCCCTCCGTTTCACCCTGCCCACCTCCACCTCCACCTCCACCTCCACCTCCACTGCCACACCAACCCCCACCTCCACCCCCAGCTCCAGCCCACGCTCCCGCCAGTGTGAACACTGACCACCAATGTCCCCTCTAAGATATGTTGTCTCAGTCTCGGCGCCTCTGCATGTCTATTCCCTCCCACCTGCCTCCTCAGCCCCTAGATTCCATCGGGGTACTGGCCCTCCGCTCTCTAAGCCCCACCCCCCCTCCTTCCTAGAGGTGAACCTCTCCCTCTCCTGGTGTTTAGTCACCTTTTTGGACCCTCCCACTAGACTCTGAACTTCTTGCAAGCAGGAATCATGTGTATTATCTACTAGTATTCTTGCATTTTGGTCCTTAGCACAGATTAGGTAGGTGCTCAATAAATAGTGATTCAAATGAAACAAACAAACAAACAAACAAATGAACAAACACCTGAGGGCTCCCCAAGGTAATACTACCTGGAGTCTGATTCAGCAACTGTGTGTTAAGAGTTTTAAGTTTGAACAATCCTGGTATGTGTCATTTACAGGATACAATTTTTTCACTGGCAACAGTAGACAGGGTTTAGTACCTGTCTGCTACGGCAAGAGGCTATGCAAAGCAAAGCTACTTGGTTAATATGCATGAAAACAGAGAGTTAAGCAGAAAAGAGTTTTAGAACAGAAGCTTGGGAGCCCCATCATCATGTGGCCTCAAATGCACTCAAACTGGCCGTGAGCTCCAAGACCAGGACGGAAATGCCTTTCTGTCCGACCGAAAGGGACTTTCATTGCTAGTCCCCACGCTTATCAACTTTGGATGAAACATCCGAATTACCAGATTTTCTTCTCAGCCGGTAGGGAGTGGAGCAGGTCTTCGCCTGTCCCTCGGGGCTGTAGCAGAAGCCGGGGTAATCTGTAAAGAGAAGGCAGCGACTGTGAGAACCAGGTGCCTGGTGACGGCTCAGAATACGGGAGCCACCTGCTTTGGATTCTCAGCATTTATTCTCCTCCCTCAGGCAGGAGTCCCTTCTTCCATACCTGGTGTTGAATGTGTATCTCAGGACTTCCTTTACCTTGGGACTTCCAGGGCATGTTAGCAAGTTAAGTCTGTCTGTCTGTCTGTCTGTCTGTCTCTCTCTCCCCCCTCACTTTCTGCTGCCACGATGACCCACAGAGGTCAGAAAATGCCATTAAAATGCTATTCCCAAGGCTGAACTTGTCACCAAGGCCCCTGACAGGTGGCAGTGATGGGCCACAGTAGGGGACATGTCAAGGTAAAACTACCTAGAGAATTTCATGAGGCCTTGAGGCCCCGCATAGTGAAGGATGTCTCGCTCTTCCTGCCCCCGTAGGAGCTGCTCTCTCCCGTTCAGTGACTCTTTTTAAAAAAACATATTTTTTTATTGATTTCAGAGAGTAAGGGAGAGATAGAAACATCAATGATGAGAGAATCATTGATCGGCTGCCTCCTGCACATTCCACATTGGGGATGGAGCCCACAACCCAGGCACGTACTCTGACCGGGAATCAATACGTGACCTCCTGGTTCATAGGTCAACGCTCAATCACTGAGCCACGCTGACCAGGCAGTTCATTGACTCTTAATACTTGTCTACACTTTGCTCCTTTGAACATCTGTTGAGTACTTTAGATTCTCTTCTCAGAAAAGGGATTATCATTTAATTTCATAGTTTGTCTTTCTACCCCATCTAAGGGGTACCCAGACTCTGGATCAAGGAAATCTGGTCTAACCCTAAACCACTGCAGCATATTCAATGATCATCGTCATGCTGACACCAGAGGGTAACAATTTAAGGATGGCCCTGTAAACATGGCCTTCAAATTAGGGTTAATGTTCTTCAACAGCACCTAAAGTTTGAGAGAGTTCTAAGGGTTGTAAAGACCACATGCACTTCTCCAATGTCAGAGGTAAAGTTATATATATGAGGTCATTTGGTCCAATGGACTGGCTTACTCTGTTCATACACAGCCAAGTCCAAAGTAGGGGAAATAAGGTTATTGTCCTGGGCTGGGCTGCTCTGGCTTAGTCCTGGGCCCAGCAGACAGGCACGTGGTACCAATTTGTGCTTGAAATTATTCTGTGCACCACAAAATCTTAATGGTGCCCAAGAGCTAACCCAGATATGGGAACAAGTAAGTCATTTTATTGAATGAACTCATCATAATAAGAGCTGACGTCTCCAGATCCCATCTTCCTTCCACTTTCTCCCTAATTCTCACCTGGCCATCCCTGGCCATGCCTTCTCTTCAGAGTGCTTTTTTTTTTTTTAAAAAAAATATTTTTATTGATTTTTTTACAGAAAGGAGGGGAGAGGGATAGAGAGTTAGAAACATCGATGAGAGAGAAACATCGATCAGCTGCCTCCTGCACGCCCCCTACTGGGGATGTGCCCGCAACCAAGGTACATGCCCTTGACCGGAATCGAACCTGGGACCCTTGAGTCTGCAGGCCGACGCTCTATCCACTGAGCCAAACCGGTTAGGACCAGAGTGCTTTTATAAAAAAAAAAAATCTTAGAGATTCTGAGTGAAATGTGAGGATTTAGGGGCCACAGGGCAGTGAGCCCAGCCTCGCACTGTGGGGATCGCTCCTCAGAATCTGTCGGACCGGAAATGGGGACTTGCAGCCACTGTGGCAGCCTGGAGGGTGAGTTAGCATTTGCACTTGGGGAAAGATTCCCCAAAAGTAAGTTATTTTGAGTTGTGTTTTTTTTTTTTTTAAAAATATTTGTATTGATTTTTAGAAAGAGAGGGAGGGAGGGAGAGAGAGAAAAACATTGATGTGAGAGGGAAACATTGATTGGGATGACACCCAACCAACTGAGCCACACAAGCCAGGGCGTTCGTTATTTTGAGAGCTTGTTTGGAGGTTCTAGCAGGGGAGAGCAGCTACTCGTATACCCTTGACCGAAGACCGGTCCTCGGGGGGGAAGGTCGTCCTCTTCGACCGAGCGCGCAGCTTCGGGAGGGACGCACATGGATCGGTGAGGGAGGAGGGGGACACCCGCCTAGCCAGCCAGATCAGCCGAATCAACCCTGGCGATCAATGGGGTGATAGATGTCGCAGCCAGATCGCCCTCACATCCTATTTTGAAAGTTTTAAGTAAAAGTTTGTCAGACCTAGTTGCCAGTTGTTAAAGTCATCGTTTCTCTTTTTAACCTGGGAGGTAACAAGGATATGATAAAATAAGCTTTTATTTTACAGGAAAGAGCTCACTCACATTTATTCTCTGCCTGCTTGTAGAAGCCTAGAAATACAATCACATATGTGGGGCAGTTGTAATTTTGAAATTTGTGCTGTTATCAGGAAAACCAGTAACTACCTAGTTATCTTGATGTTTTCAGATAATCAACATAGATTTTCTGTCTGAGGTGGGAAACGGACTGTGAGACCTTAATTGTTGGCGGTGGGGGTGGGGGTAAGGGTTGACCCTGGGAGCATATCTTACATTGTTAGTTGACACAGAGACCTAGCCAAGTGGCCAGCCGCCAGGGGACTCACAGATAAAAAGGGAGGAATCAATGTAGAAACAAATCAGTGTGTCAGGAAGAGATGGTACTGCCTGCCGACTATTTGTTAAAACAGTTAGTAGAGAGCTGCTACTTAATACCAATGACGTTTTTATAAACTTTAAGATAGAACATGTGATAGGCACAAGTAGAAAATGAAATTTCAAATTGTGGTAAGAAAATTAAACTTACGAATGGCATCCATTTCTAGTATTGCTTGCTTTGCCTGAAAGAAAGAAAATGTAGCTATAATTGCAATTACATTCTTTTGGTTTCTACTTTAAACTACCAATCCTAACATGGGTTTTATCCCACCTGAATAAGTGGTTTTTAAAAAGCTTTTTAAAGAAACTCATGATTTCTCTTAGGCATTAACACATAGTTTGAGGGATTCAAACAGATGACTGCCCCCATGTGGGGAGTAGATGCTGCACAACTGAGCACCTGAGCTAAACCACAGCCCCACCTGGGAAGAAAGGAGGGAGGGGAAGGAAAGCG